GCGGCGAACATGTTCTGGCGCAGGTATAGCAGGAGGGACGGCAGCTCACGGCCTACACACGGTCCCAGGCCAAACCTAACAAATTTGATGTTGTATACTTGACCAAAGTACGATAAGATAGGAAATTTGATGTAAGATAAGAAATTAGATGTTGTATACATAAGCAAAGTACGATAAGATAAGAAATTATATGTAAGATAAGAAATTATATGTAAGATAAGAAATTATATGTAAGATAAGAAATTATATGTAAGATAAGAAATTAGATGTTGTATACATAACCGAAGTACGATAAGATAAGAAATAAGATGTTGTATACATAACCAAAGTACGATAAGATAAGAAATTAGATGTTGTATTCATAACCAAAGTACGATAAGATTTACAACTCCCAGTAGTAACGAGCGCAATCATAACAGAACCGTTAAAATTTGCGTTAACTTGAGGCAATCAGATTTGAAAATATTACTTAATCAGGGAGTTTAACGGACCAAAAACATGTTAAAATTGATGAAAAAAATGATCCAATAGAGCAAAAAATATATACCATAAACTTCGAAACATTTACGATGCACAGAAAACGAACTTTAAAGTTAGTTGTGGTTGCTGCTTTGTGAAAGAGAAATTTCTAATATAAACATGTTAGACATTAAAATGTTCCAATAGAGCAAGAAATATATTCCATAAACTTCGAAACATTTACGATGCACAGAAAACGAACTTTAGAGTTAGTTGTGGTGGCTGCTTTGGAGGTTGTATGAAATGAACGTCTTCAGGGGGGAGCTTGTACTGCGGGTTGTTCCAAAGCAAGACGCATACAGCGTCTAGAACTGCCTCGTCTAGACGCTTCTGCAGCATAGATACGAGCTCTTCTGTGATGTTCGGGCCTGTGAACAAAACACGTACGTAAACTTCTGGCAAATTTCAGTAAAAACGCGAGACAATATGCAGACGCTCTTGATTTAAATTAGCAACACAGAGAGGGACATGTGGTGCGACATAAAAACGACAGCTTACTATGGACATAAAGACATTAAACACGATACTAGCACTAACACTCACCAGGCTGGGCGATTCCATGCACAGTAAGCTCGATGTAATCATATCCTTTAGAAGAAGAATGGGAAGCAGTCACTCCCTCCGTGATGACGTCACGCTCTCCTACGGAACTGATCCGCGGTCTCCCGTCAACGCCATGAAAGGCGGACGAAGCAGCGACGACACTTGACGGTAACGTGGCCGCTGGGTGGACGGTAACCGGAGCCTCGGTTACACTTGCCACCGAATTTGAAGTTGTGGAAATATGCTCAGAGGTTGAAGTAAACATAGAAGGATTGTCATCATCTCTGAACGTCTTTCTCTGAGAGACCCCAGAGACTTCTTCACGGTCGTAGCGGGCGATGTCAGACCAGGCCACGCTAGTAACACTGCCAACGGCACTCGAAAATGATTGAGGGGCTGATGCGATCAGATCAGCCGCCGCTGTGGAATTAGCAATTACAGTAGAAACCATAGTAGAATTTTGTGCGTTGTTATTGAGAGGAGCATTTGCGGGGACCGCGCTGATACCATTGATAGCTCCAGCGGGACTAACAATAATGGCAGAGGAGGCGCTGACATTCGATGTCACTAAATGGGAGTTGGGATCAGCACTAGTGGTCGGTTTTGAAGGATATTTAGTGACCCCACTCTGAACATTTGAGATGATGGTGCCACTTATGTTACTAGTGATGGTAGCTCCAGCGATGTTGGTAGCTGCGTAGTAGCTGTCTCTTATACACATCTAGATGTGTATAAGAGACAGAAGCTGAGCGCCGTGTGTCTTGAGCGGGTCGCAGGGAGACGTCGTCCTCTCAGGGCCGTAGAGCTGTCTCTTATACACATCTAGATGTGTATAAGAGACAGGTCCTACCTTGAGTCTGGGGTGCAGAAGGAAGCGTGTGTCCCACACCACAGGACACCTGAACGTCCCGGGCTCGTTGCGGAGACTAGCCTCGTGGTAGCTGTCATCCGTCGCCTCTGCCATATTGTAAACAAGATTTAACTCATCAAACTCATCAAAAAAAAATATAACTCATCAAACTCATCAAAAAAATATAACTTATCAAACTCATCAAAAAAATATAACTCATCAAACTCATCAAAAAAATATAACTCAGTACTCACTGCAGTTAGTGACAGAGAGCACATTTTCTCGTCGACGAAAACTTGAAGCCACGGACAGACGGGCGGACGGACATGACGGGCACAATAGCGCCTTTTTTCATAAATTAGAAAATGCGCCAAAAATATAACTCAGTAGGTACCTACTCACTGCAGTGAGTGACAGAGCGCATTTTCTCGTCGACGAAAACGTGAAAAAGGCCGGATCCCTTGTGAATCAAGTCACGAAAAATTCAAGAATCGGTAACAGGCCATGGGCCTATTTCTTCAGTGCCGACACTTCTATTCTATTCTATAAGGCACCTCCCTGAAGATATTGTTGACGCTCCGAGTATGAACGCGTTCAAGAACAGACTAGACAAGGCCATGCAGGAGCATATTTTTAGTCTTAAAATGCCTCGTACCCTACGGAACATCTGATATCTAGAAGCGATTTTAAATCTACCGTCCGTTGAAAAGATTTGATCAAAAGGCCAGTCTAGTCAAGAAAAGTACAAGAATCGGCAACAGGCCTATATCCAGGCCTATTCTTTAATGCCGAAGATACTATACTATACTATATTATTCTATTGTATAAGGCACCATTATGCATGTCATCCTCGGTATTGACGATGTAGGCGTCGCCCCAGGAGGACCCTGGGGAGGGCGGCGTGAGGAGAGAGTGACAGAGGCGAGTCTTGTGAAGACTGTGCAGCAGCAGAGACTGGTTCACGTGCCGTACGAGAGCTCGTATCAACGACAACGTATCTTCCAGCACCGCCTTGTACTGGCACGCGTCGCACGGCAACCTATGTGGTTAGGTAGAAAATTACTCAAAAAATACGAGGCATTCTACAGGCAAACCATGGAACTTTAATGCAGCACCTAAAAAAACATGTTTATTGTGACGTATCTTCCAACACCGCCTTGTACGGGCATGCGTCGCACGGCAATCTACGTGGTCAGGTAGAAAATTACTTGAACATACGAGGCATTCTACAAGCAAACCATGAAACTTTAATGCAGCACCTAAAAAAACATGTTTATTGTGACGTACGCTATTCATAATTATCTATTAAGCATTCTCATGGATACATCTTAAGAATGTGTCGTTATATCTTCATAAGAATAATTTCCTACGTCATTTTAATTACCTGCAGTGGAAATAAACAGTGACGTTTCGCTCGCCCACATGCAGGATGAGCCAGAATTTTGGCAGGCAAGGCTGCGCGGTTTCGAATTCTTGGAGCCAATCGGCGCAGTCGTCAGACTCGCTGATGTCGCCCTCGCAGCCGATGTCGGTGGTCTGGCCGGACTCCAGCACCGATGATACGTCCGATGCCAGGCCAGCTGCAGCCGCTGATGCACTTATGGATGAAGTGGCCCCAGTGGAGGCTGAAGAAACAGTGGCGGATGAAGCCGATGTGCACCCGGCCACGGTTGTAGACGTTGTCGTGTCTAGCGCCGTGGCTGAGAAGTGGCGTCGCCGGCTCAGTGACACCGTGCAGTGAGTATCACTGAAATAATTAAGATAGAGGTAACATTAATTTCAATACAATTCATTTAAGTTTAAATCATATGATAAGAATTATAAAAACTAGTGTACAAATAATAAACTTAAATTATTAGTCTAATGAAATAGCGTGATTAACGAGAAATTTCCGATCATTTGTTAGACTATCAAGAATGATAAACATAACCATTTCTCATACACGATTTTTAACGATTTGTGTACAAAATTAAGAAGCGCTTGGTCGTACTCTGGTTGGGTGCCCCGGGCGCCCGCAGCACACTCGTCTGAGCTGGCACTTCTGGGCACGGGCATGCCTGCCGCTGCCATCTCCGTGGCGCCGCTGCCATTTGTTCTGCTCAGTAACAAGGTTCTATAATGCGCCGTGATTTGGATCTCATCTTCTTATATGTAAAAGGCTCAAGACGAATACAAAATAATTTATTTAAACGTTTTTATCTTTGAGCGATTATACTTAGCTTTGCCTTGTTGCGACGGACTTTGTTTCTGAATTGTATATATTGAACCGATTTGAAAAGTTCAAAGTCGACAAAAATTAGCAATGCTACTGAACGTGAGCGGAGAATGGGATATATAAGAGCATTTGGCGATTGCATAATACATTTAGAGAAATGTTGGTTTGAAAATATTACTTTCTACTAAAAAATTGTCGAGCTTCGAAATACAACATTTATAACGACAAAAAAAGACCTGATTCAAGAATATCAAATAAAAAAGGTTTACGGCATTACCTACGCAACGGAGGATGCCGCATTTTGCCGCTGCCATCTTCCTTCTTTGGCGAAGTTTTGACGGGTGACTTCGCCTTCCTCTTGCCGCGATCCAAGGCAGCGGGTGGAAGACTTGACGATGAGATAGAGTCGCGTTGGGCGCTTCCCTCGCCCTCGAGGGTGAAGAACAACTCCTGCTGCTGTACGCCCCCACACGTGATCACCATGCCGGGCTCGAGCTCCTGTCTCTCCCAGGGGCGAGACATGGACGCTCCGTCCACGACGTCTCCGAGCTCGGAAGACTCTTTTCCTGACGAGGCATCATGCCCACGCAATACCCCGGGGTGTGCTAGCATAGCGTTCATGTTTAGACCATCCACGCAGCTGGAGACGGGATGGCTGATGCTCATTGCCCCTAGTGAAGTCGCTGTGACATCGATCGATGTGGTAGTGACAGGCACATTAGATGAATAACCTGCAGAACTAGTGACATCGGCTAACGCTGAGTTAGTGACCATGTCAGTTACCCTAGTTCCCACACTAGTGGCCGTTACGAAGCCAGTTGTTGCTGCAGCCATGGGCTCGACCGCGGTGGGGCCACAGCTGGGCTTGACGCACGACGTAGCAGCAAACGCGCGCTCTCTGCTGTGTTTGCTACGTTCTTTTTCGCGGGATTTTTCCCGCAGTTGTGAAGTCTCACGGGAGTACGAAGAACGATGGTATCCATCTGATGAAATAATCCAACTTTATTACGGAAAAAAGGCTTCCGACCTTCTTATTCTCGTTACAAATCATCTTTCAGTATTTTTGCAATTTGAAAACTCATAACAAATGATATTGTTTCGTAGTTAATATTTCCAATGAGCGAGACCAGTGATACAATGCGAAAAAGAGTAATTGGCCAGTGAATAGAGCGGCATCTTGATCCAGTAAATTCGAAAAGACGCTACTCTCATGTGCTAAAATCATTCATCCCTGCCACAACAAAATATCACGGACAGAAAGTGCGATCAGACAGGTAAGAAAAATTTGGCTAACAAAATTAGTATCAGAAAAAATTACGTAAGGATAATTTAACAAACAGTCATATAATGGTAAGCTAACAAATCTAAAAAAATGTAACTGTACTCACTGAAGTGAGTGACAGAGAGCGCATTTTCTCAAAATCGACGAAAACGAGAAGTCACAGACAGACAGACGTACGGACATGACGAGCACAATAGCGCCTTTTTTCCATAAATGAGAAAAGGCGCTAAAAAGGCGCTAACAAGGCGCTTCACAATAAATTCTAAAAAAAAATTCGTTCGATCGCAGGATGTTTTTCTTATTGAGTTATTGGATTATTTAGTTATTGAGTTATTGAGTTATAGAGTTAGAGTTATTGAGTTATTGAGTTATTGAATTATTGAGTTATTGAGTTCCAGGATATAGTTCCAGTCGTATTCGCGCAGGAAATTTGGCCTTTCAGCGAAGAAGACAGCCCATTGCCAGAAGACGCTGCCGTTGATCATCTAGAAGACGTGCCATGTCAATTCATTACAGCTAAAATCAGTATGATCATAGGCATGAACCGAGCTGAAATGCTGAAGCCTCTAGAGATCGTCGACGGGCCCCACTAAGCATGCAATTTACGCATCACGTCATCGTCTGGGCTGGGCCCTGAATGGACACATGTGTTTCATTAAATTTTGTTCCATATACAAGAATGACAGACTGGCTATCACAGACAACTGTCCTCGTACGGTATAGGATCAGAAGACTCGAGAGGCAAAGAAAAGACAGTCGTTGGCACCAATAGTTTTGAATAACCATGTTAGTAAATTGAATTTTGGTGTTGATAAGTCCAAAATTATTTTTCAGGTATTTACTTAAAAATCTTGTTGCAAACATGGAATTAGAACTCTCTCGACAAAACATTTCAGAATGTTCACAAATAATTATCTTGCATAAAACGACTTTTGTGCAGAAGAATATTAAGTGTTCAGCGTTGATTTCGATGAAGTACTGAAGCCTAATAGATTTTTAAAATATAAAACATATTCCAAGAGAGATACACTTTGCAGTTTCTGTTTTTATTTGGTCAAGTTTGCTCATTCGGGTAATGGATTATGGGGACTTGAGATGTCACGGGATTATAAAAATTATTGTATTAGGCCTATAGACAAATTATTGTTTGTTACTCAGCAATTTAGGATTTGTTATACTCTATGCCACAATTTATTTGGCTGTGGCTTTCAGTTAATAATATCACGTTAGAATATTCATTGTCAAAGAACTTTGAACTTATCAACTCACACTTTTAATACTCCTTTAAAGTGAACTAAGAAATTTATGGTATCGAATCTAGAATCATTTTTATTAGGAACCAATAAGTTGATAAAATCACATCAAGAAAATTCTTTCCAGCGAAATGATAATTTCATAACATAGCATCTAGAGTTTCGTTGCCGAAGAACTAATAAGTTAATAAAATTACACCAAATATTCTTTACAAAATTAGAATTATCTTATGTATTGCATCTAGAATATTCGTAACTAAGGAACTAATAAGTCGATTAAAGCGCATTAACGCATATAAAATATTCGATAGTTAATGACTAAAATGTTGAAGATATTGTATCAAGGATACTTGTTGACATGGAATTTATGAGTTTATTATATCGCATTTGTGAATTTATGAAAAATATTTGCAAATTACCAATGAAAACGGGTCTAGGGGAACGTTTGGCAAATTACTGTCGTGCAATTCAGTTCATGCTTGATATTGAAGATGAAAGATGACATTTTCGGGAAAATCCATGCTGTTCTAAAGGATGTTCTCTCTCATATTGAGTGTTCGAGATTTCCAATGAGCTCAAAGGTGTGTTTGTCTATAAATCTAAACATTTCCAGCGCGACCATCGTTGACATAGATAGCGTGATCGTTTATTCATGACATATATATATATATACTGAAATCGTTTTTTAAATACTGAACTGAATTTATTTATGCATACAGATCTCACTCGTCTCGGAATGAGAAAGAATTAATTTTCCACTCAATATAGTTGTGTTTTATTAATAGTTATCCTGGTGAACTCAAAGGTTCCATGGTCCTAAACTAAGACAGTTATATATTATAAATCATTCATAACATTATTGAAAGTTGAAACTGAAATAATATGTGCCGTTATGATTTCAATATTACTAATAGAATTATAAATTGCACATTCCACTGGTTTTCACAGCTACTTGTTGATCAATGGCCGTTGTCACGCGAAAACCAAGCGTGCACACAGAAAAATAAATGGGTTGCATTGTCCAAATAAAGACACTTACTCACAGCCCGAGCAGCGAGCGGACGTATATATAGCACTTATACGTACTTTAGCCGCGCCAAAATTGGTCGTGATAATTAACACAAGGGCAAGAAGTACATGAAAAGTTGGACAAAATCTCACGCATTTATCGATCGGTTTCGCCTTCAAAACAACGGCACGAGCTTACATTGACCTTGGGTAGTCACGTAAACTCTTATTCAAACACTTCTCCATCGCATTTAATCAAGCGCGGAATTGAAGAACAATAACGGTTTTTTTCTTCAAGGTATGTTTTCCTGACTGATTGCAAATTCGGTTTTCATCATCATGTTTGATTTAGAAAAGACGAAAGCTTTCAATGAAATTTATGCTGTACGCGTTCGCAAAACATACTCGATTGTTCCACATGACGAAAACGTGCCTATCCCTATCGAAATTCGAAGACCTGTCAGCCGCTGGCACACGGACGCCCCAGGTTCTTATGGCCGGGTAAATTAGAAGCTCTATGTCCGCATTAGGTTCCGGTTGCCGTAGCGAAATGTGCCGTTATGATTTCAATATTACTAGTAGAATGATAAATTGCACATTCCATTCAAGGACAAGAAGTACATGAAAAGTTGGACAAAATCTCACACATTTCTCGATCGGTTTCGCCTTCAAAACAACGGCACGAGCTTACATTGACCTTGGGTATAGTCACGTAAACTCTTATTCATACACTTCTCTATCGCATTTAATTAAGCGCGGAATTGAAGAACAATAACGATTTTTTTTCTTCAAGGTATGTTTTCCTGACTGAGGGCAAATTCGGTTTTCATCATCTTGTTTGATTTAGAAAAGACGAAAGCTTTCAATGAAATTTATGCTGTACGCGTTCGCAAAACATACTCGACTGTTCCACTGACGAAAACGTGCCTATTTGATTCCACCAGCGGATTGGCAAATTGAATTCATAACGAGGATTAAAAAGTTGCTGATATATAGCAGATTTTTGAGTGGAATTCCTATCTTTGCCGACGGTTTTGAAAATCGTTGTGAAATTTGTGTTAGAGCAAAAAAATGCTGTTATTACAAAGCGCAACAATTATTTGAATTTTCAAGATACTGTTTCATCTGGATTAATCAATTGTTCGAGGGTTATATATATTTATATATACTACTACGGGTAGGTAATGACCAGAGAATTCGTCGATTTAAATTTTCTGGATCGAACAATATTCTTCAGATGACGTTGGTTGACCAAAATGCAGGTGTAAGGAAGTAATTTTAAATCATTATTGACGTTTCGCATGTAACAAACAGTCGCTTTCAAGTTATAGGAAGCATTGAATACAGACAGAAATTTTGGCTGAAATAAGTACATGATAAACGTAAATACGATTCAACACGATTTTATTATTATAAATTTATAAATTAAAATTATTATTAATCGATCCAAATTTCATTATTAAACGCGTCTTGCAACTTGATATAGAATGTTGATAAATTCGAAACGTCTTAACACGTTGAAAATAGCTTTCTATAACTTGATTTTCGATCTACTATCGCCAACGAAAAATATTATTTGACATATTGAAAAATCTACAATTAAATTATTTATGATTTTTTTGTCCATTCTTCAATGAAACTTGTTTATAAAAGCACAAATTCCGCCATCATATTCTAATTTTCCATGTTACAGAAAATAAACTCAGTTGCATTGAATTGCAGACTGCTTACGAACATTTTTCCTCCAAAGCATAAATTTAAACGACGCATGAAGTTCCGAATAACTTGCTAAATTCCTGAGAACTCGTATTTCTGCTCTAATCACTGCATGTAAGCAATATACCCTTTACTTTTAATATCAAACATAAATAATATTATTATTTATTCGTATACGAACGGCACGTATTAATGGCTTGCATCTCGGAAATGCGCTCCCATCGCCGTCATTCATGGTCACGGGTAGAAAAAAAAATCTGTCTTGATTAGTAATTATACGATTAATTATTCAATATCTCACCTATACTCTCCAATAATAGCATTTGGCTCTAGCGTTGTACATCTCAAACCGTTTCCAGCGTTGTGTCTATGATCCGGGGTCTTTAAGCCTCAATTGTGCGTGTCGAAAAAATAAATCCAGCCGAATACTAAATTTAAGTCACATTGTAATATTTTTTAGCCAGTAGGACACAGTTTGACACTTCAATCATTTATATTACCTGTTTGTAGAGTATTAGTATTGAGTATTTGTAGAGTATTATTAGTATAGTATGTTAAAGTTTATGGGTTTGTTAGTGTGTTGGAAGCCTGGCGCTGTAAATATTTATAGCGTCGCTATTAAAAAGCTACGAACGCTATTAATTATATATATAATTAATAGCGATGAGAAGCATAGCCACTATGCTTGTCATGTCGGGATATTGCATGAACCTGAAAATCTTTA